CAAAGTCTCCCGTGGATGGTATTCGTCAGTTTCGCGTTAGGTCGTTATGGCGCCCAGGCGAAAGAGGACCACTTCTGACGCAAATCATTATTTTGTATTTCATCAATATGAAATCCTTAGTATGGAACTCTTTTTCCATTTACTTACAGGTCTTTCCTTGGAATACTTCATAGTAATCGTGATTCTAGGCGCTCGCTATCCATTCATTCTAAAGACTATCCACAAGCCATGCATTCCTCTCTCCAAGGGTTGTTAGATGGATGCGTCATTCGGAGTGGCACTTGCTCGCTGGGCGGGAGGAGGGAGTACGAAACATTATGCAATGTGTGCGGATCATTTTGAAAGGAGTACGAAGAAATATGCTACTCGTGCGTAACATTATGCGGCAGGTAAGAAAGTCAATGGGAAACGCTGTACTACAAAAATGCTACTTTTTCTCTACCAGAGGGATTTCCTCAGGCCAAGAACGATTATTTAGTTAGTAATCGATGGTCTGAAGTTTCTACTTGGAGCATCCAGGCGGCCTGAACCCTGTCATGTTTATTTCATTCTAGGCCTTCGCTTTCCGTAGGCCTATGAAAATCAAACTTGGTACTTGCGGTCACAGTATAAATAGCCAACATTAACCCTTGACATGATTGTTTTATCATGAGGTACTAATCGAAAAGGGTTTCTGTCATGGGTTATGATTTAGCCCATGAAGCATAACTGATAAAAAAAAGCTAGCAGCATTTAAAAGAATACAGAGGCAATGGTAGTGAAAGCCTCAAGTGTCAAGCAGTTTCCTGTTGTAGTGAATTCTATAAAAAGCTGGAATATATTAGTAGTATCCCACTCTCATCATGCATACGTACATCAATAAGGTCCGCAGGGCCGGATAAAGAAATTGCGAGGCCCGGGACAAGTGGGTTTCTGGGGCTACCCCCCCCCCCCCCCACTTTACGCAAATACTTAACGTTTTTAAGTTCCTTGGGGGCCCCCCTGGAAGAGTGGGATGGGAGGGCAATAGCCCCCTTTGCCCCCCCCCCCCCTTAATTCGGCCCTGAAGGCCCGTGATTCCATGGAAATCCTTGCATCGGTGAGTGGTTTTGAGGAAAACCTGCACCTCCTTTAAAGGTGAAGTTTGATTAAGTATTAAACTACGTATTTGCTCATCCCTGAACTCTGTCGCATTTATACCATGTTTTACTTCGGTTAGATGATCCCTTTATCTTTGTCGTGGCTCTCGAGTTTTGAGAAGAAATTTGGAGAAGCCCCACGTGGAGAGGGATTGAGCAATTCTGTGAAAACATGACTTGTCTCATTCTCCTTACGTTCGACTCCCCCCAATCATGGGCGGCGCCATACTTAAAACGCGCCATCTAGTGTTAATGTACCCAGCGAATAGGCTAGGTAAACCCTTCCCTTTCATCATGCAAAGAGCAGAATAACACCAGCTTTGAAGGACCTTGTCTTGTCACAGGCTCGAAATAGATAGATCAAACACAGCATGGAGATAGCTGCGGCTGGAGCTCATAACAAGCACAGAAAGGAATACAAGGGCAGCATTGCCGGAGTTAAATGACGCATGGATGACATTGCGCCATGATGGGCCCTGTACCAGTGTTGCCATTGGCAACAGTCTACTCTGCTTTAACTTTCAGCTTTAGAAGTGTCCATGTTGTCATACCGTCAAAACCGTAGGACATGACTACCCTTCGAAAAATGCTCAAATCCTTCTGAAAAAGTACTGAGCATGATTGCGACCTTAAAATTTAAATTTTAAGATTGATGCAAGAAAAGAGCATGAACGTGCAGCACAGGTTCGCAGTTAAATTTCATATACCCCATAATACTTACTTTTATAGCCAACAATTTTCACATGGCTGCATCGAGGCTGCAAAGAATTCAATATGCCTTTCCAGACTCATTCATAAAATCCCATTTAGCCACTAGTGATTTAGCATGAAATTGTCATGGTTTCAAAGAGCCCAAAAAGAATTATCATGGGTAAAGTGAATGATTAACTGCATCGTCCACTCTGAGTGCATTTGAGGATCACAAAATTGAATTCTCATTGAAAAATGTAAGATACACAAGCAGTTTCGCCATATCCCAATAAAGATCCAACTAGTGCACCTTTTTGCTTCCATATGTTATTCTCGTGCAGACAGCAACAATCCACCATGAGTTCATTTAGGTCCACACTCGTATACATTGAGTCCTCCTTCCTTCCCATGTGGACGACAGCATATTTCCCAACGCAATGCAGCAAATTTCGCAAAGTCCCCACGAGAATTTCCTGTGGACAACTGGGGGGATTTTTTGCATGGGGTGAACATCGTTATTGGCAGTTCAACTGTCACAAGCAACTGGTATGAGCACCTCTGCAGCGGTATTGATTGCTTATGGCTGATGAAAGCCAATATGGCTTCAAAAAATAAAAGAAATATGATGCAACGCAAGACAAGCGCAGGCGTAGCTGGCTTGCAGGAGCGATAGTATGCGTGATAATGAAGATTTATCTCTCCAGTTACTTTTGTGATGAAACGGAATTTCTTCAGAGGAAATGACACGTCTAGTTAAGCCATCAGTGATGGAACTGAAAATCTCAGGTTAATAGATTGTCAATTCATCTGAAAAGACTGAACAGCAACAGAATATGTTTGAATGTTGTCAGATTACATCGGCTTCGTAGAAAAAAGGGCATATAAGGCCAGGGAAGGCTGACCTGCTTTTCCAGTCCTCGACGATGCGCATTAAATACCGGTACATGATTGCATGCCTTCTGGCCCCTGAACACAAATGAACGTACTTCGTGAATAAGCTCATATGCTGATGTCTTTTTTCAACAGCCGTCATATTGGAGGATTCTTGAGTGGCGAGCTTGCTGGAAACTCAGGTCACCATGGCTTGTTCTCTTTTCCGGGATATCACTTCATGAAAAGAGTATCCAGGCATTCCTTGTCCCAGGTTTTATCTCTTACCACTCCTTCACAAGTCCACTTGTTCCAGTCAGACTGGCACCTTAACCCTCTTGTTTGACTACTTTGATTCCTACAATCTTTTGTGGCACTCTGTTATCCTCATTCAAAGAGTTATTGTTTGTTGGTCACACCATTTCACTTATAGGATTGACGATATCATTCGTTCAGTCCTTGTATCCTCGTCTCATAATCTAATTCAGCTGTTCTTATTCCTGTCAAAATTTTCACCCGAGAAGTTTTATTTATATTTGAAGAATTCTTCCCTTCAGACATTCGCTCTAATTGGATTCGATGCACTGTCATTGATCTCAGAAATCTCAAGCAATTGGTGTTGCTTGGCCATGTAATTGAATAAATGATTCAACAATATATTTTGAAATTTCGTCTTCTAGGATATCTAAATAACTGCAAGTTGTGCAGTTCTGAGTACCCGCCTCGTGGAATTACAAAGACATAAATTCTAAGAGTCTTAACTGTCAAGTCAAAAAAGGAATGTGAATGGCGAAGAGGCCTCGAATGAAAATGACAACCTTGATTTGCCATGAAAGGAAATATGAGAGGGTTTGGGAAACATAAGCTTTTATGTTAGTGCAGAGGAACTTAAAAGAAAATGAAAAATTCCTGCACCATCAATTCCTCTGCCATACTCCTCCCATTCTCAGGGCATATGCCTCCCAGGATAGGAAAAAAAAGATTGTATACCGAGTGTTGCACATAGATAGTCCCCTCTCCCTTATAGGAGCTGGACAATTTTTAAATATATTTGGAATCCTGGTTCAATTTTGATTCTATTCAATCTCATTTTGTTGTTTCTGATGTATGATGGAGAACTTAAATTCTTTTGATCGCATCCGTGCTCTTACGTTTCGAGAAGCTCCTGATGCCGGAGCCGAATTCGTTACCCGTTCGTGGGTTTCGAAAAAGATTAAACGTTCAGCTTTTGCATGATGAAGTCCCTTTCTTGTTTCAAAGCTTTGACCTCACAGCAAATGCCGTAAGGTTTAGAAATTGATTTGTTTGGAAATGCGGAATGACCGGGAAACTCTCCTGACAAGAATGTGGCTCTAACATTCTGGTTATCCTGAAAGATCGAGTTGACGTTCTCATACACACAGAAGGAAAGCAGCATGGATTCTCCCGAGAAGTCTTGCAAAGCAACATCACTAGAGTGTTGAAGGACATGGAAGATGACACGGAACTCTTTCAACGTTTCAACTTACCCTGCTCATCTTAAAGCTGTCAGAAACGCAGCCAGACAAATGACTAGAAGTAGGCCTACTTCGATATAGATTCGAAAACGAATGCTCTTTCTTATGATAAGTTCTTTTCCTAGTTTTTATAGTTTAAACTCGAGGGGAAGAGGGGGAGGGGGGCTATTTACGTGCTACACCCGGTAGGCTACAATACTCATGATGGGATAGTTGAAACGTAAATTGCAATTGCCATATTGTACTTCATCGAGCAAATAGGGATACGGCGAAAGTCGAAGAGGCTAGAGTGTCTTTCACTCGGCGATGCTAACAAAATAGCATCTGCACGAGCCATCCATCCACAGAGTAGCCACCTGTAGGTGACGCGAGTAATCAACAGAAATCTGAAATGACCCGTAGATGTCTCTGACAAGCGGAAGGGATCCACGCGCCAGTCGGGTGACTCGAGATAGGAGAGTCGAGTGTCATCGCGCTCGCAGGTTGAAAGTAGGCTCTAGGCCGCTTTCATCACTTCCCTTCGTTCCTGCACTTCTTCCAAACGTTTGTTTTCTTGTCACGAAAGACCACGGAACGGAACATGTGCAAAGATCCTCATGAACAAAGCCGTTTTCTCTTTTGTCATCGATCAAGCTCGGTCGGAACTATGGAGATTCTGATGGAGCCGAGACGGCCGGCCGGGCCGATCCGATCAGCTGCTTCTATCGGTATGAGATTCCCTTCCCCGTTGATCGTTGTACAGTGGAAAAGCCAAAGGGAAACTAACTTCTCTTCGCATCGACTCGATTGAATATCCACCCAGTTTGACGTATCCATCTCGGAGCTCATGGCGTCGAGTTATTTGTGGAAGCCTTGGCGGCCAGGAGACCCTCTACGAGAGGCATATCTCCTCCCCGCGGAAGAAAAGTCATCTTCAGGAGCCACAGATCTTCTCTACAAAGTGAGTATCGTGTTGCTTCAAGAGGTCTTCTTAGGGGGAGGGTTCTTTTTTACTTTTTCTATTCTTTTCCGAGCTTCCCGATACAAAAGGACTTCGGAAGCGACGAGTGACAGGCAGTCGCATCGATCGAACTCCTCAGGGCTGGAAAAACAAGAGGCCTTCTCGAAGAGAAGTAATCTCGGCTTCACCTGATCATTTTTAACGTTTCCTTGACGGTCAGACTTGTGTTTACTAAGAATATTCCGGTGATTTGGAACCTCCAGCACATCGAAGCGTACAAGGCGGGATTGAAAGAACGGAAGAAGTTTCGAGCTTCGATCGTGGAGGCGATCGTAGGCCAGGAGAGGCGTCAAGCCAAGGAAGGATGTCGACCCGAAGATCCTTCCGAGAAGAGGCGGCGGTATTGGGCCTACATCCAGAGAAGCATCTCAGATTCACAGGTATATCAATATACAGTAACGATTGTAGGGTACAGATATAATTTCCTTGAAGCACTGTTTTCCCGTGATCCCCAATAATTTATTTTTGCAACGTGGAGCAATCGGATTCTATTAAGAGTTGCCATGAAGAAAGACATGAGAAATGTAAACTTCCTTAAGAATGATTGCCATGGAAACACAATGAGGTCCTCCAGAAGCAGGACCATTTTTTACTCAATTGGAGAAGGGAAGACCGCACAAAGCAGCACGACCGGTCTGAATCGAATGGCACTTGGAAGATCCCCGTGGGCAAGCCTATCCTCACTCATTCCAGTGTTATGGTTCTCTTCCCTCTCTCCTTCCTCTCGTTCCTGCATTGACTCGTGGGAATTTGAGCCTAGCCAGCGTTGGCAGGCAGCGCCGTGCCTACTCTGGACGCATAATCTCGTTTTGCTTTTTCCTCGCAACGGAAAAAAGTATTTCCAGCTGTGCTAATCGAAGAATTAATTGCAAATATTTATTTGAGAACTCTAAATTTTAAACTGGGTAGGTACTGCCTACCCTGCCTACCCTGACGAACTGCCACTGGCTAGAGGAGGGGGGGGGGGGGGGGGGGGGGGGGGGGGAATGTTTACGTCAAAATTACGTAAAATTAATGTATTTTTTTTGTCCATTTTATATCTTTTTTACGCAAACCATCATCAAGATATTGTCGGGAAGAGATGGTTTCCGAGGCGAATATCAGACATTACTGCACATGTCAGGCTTATTTGAGACTGTGCTGAGAATGCTGGGAAATCCCAGGATGAAGGTGTTGCCAGACTTCTGAAGGGAAGCATCATTCTTCCTTTCGATGATCATCTATTCAACATATAATTTATGGCACTTCTAGTTCATTTCCTAAAAAAATTGCATATCCTAGGTGGCTCCAATTGGGCAAACATGGATTGAACACATCCTTCGCTTCGTGTCTCCGCGCCTTCAACGTGGCAAAGACTCCATGAAGAAACTCCTCAAGGAGCTCCAAGACGAATACATAGTAAGAAAGCGCGCTGTACATCCTTCTTACTTGATATTCATTTTTAACTCTCTACCATTCTCATCTTTTTACGGAAGAGACTGAATTTGAGGTGTGTTATGATTTTCGGATGACTTAAACGCCAGGTGAGCATGAAGAAAGCGATGGTGGATTACACCCTAGGAGGGCAAAGCCTTTGGGAGGAAGATCAGGCCACAGACGAGGAGATTTTGATCAAAGGTTTACTTGCACGTGAAAAGGAAGCCCTGGGGATCGTACCCAAGCCGTGGTACCAGTCCTTCCATAGGGTTTCGAAGTGGGCTCAGTATAGCCTTCACCGAACCAATCCGTGTATCCGGGAAGTACTCAACACTTGGTTCCGGGAATACGAGTGAGTGGCTTTCTTCGTTCATTCCTTGTTGCTCTTATGAAATCGCTCCTGCTTGATAAGTTAAAGGTTATGGCCCGAATGCACAAACCTCATTTAGGGGAGATAAAGAGGCCTTTAAGCTAAAGAGGTCTTTAAGGAATGCATAACTTCTCCTCAATAAAAACGGTCGCTAACTTAAACGAGGTTTAAGCCGAAGAGTCCTTTTTCAAATGCACAGCCTGGGAAAATGGTAGATATTGTGGTTGGTTTGTCACTTTTTCTATTCTGTTTTCATTTCGACTGTCAACAGTTACCGTTAGAACCAGAGAATTTGATTAATTGCTTACGTGCAGCATGGAGTCTGGGTCGGGGTGTCAGTCACCGCCAAAAATAGCCAGTTTCCTTCCAGCACTTGCATTTGACGGATCCATAGTTGGACAAAAGGAGAGAGAGGGTTCTTATGGCAGCGTAGGCAGGATTGCTGGTCGATCCCAATGAATGCCTATATATCCGCCTTGTACAGTATTGCGGACAGGCGGGTTGCAACCCAAGTTGCAGGCAAGGTCATTCAGCGCCAATTCGACCAGAGCGTGAGCTCGACCATCTCCGATTTGGACAAAAACTAGCGTGCACGTCGAGGAATCGATTTAAATAAACTAATTTCAACCAATTTTTATATCTTGCCCAGATCTTCAGATATATTAATTAGAATGTGACCTATTTTTTGCTCCTGGCGCCCATACGGACTGGACTGGAATTGTGAAACTGTTTCTGCAATAACTTCTCTTCTAGTTAAGTTACAAGCTTAATTTTGGTGTCATTTTAATTGTGAAATCGCCGTCTTTAATTTGATTTTAGATATTATTCTCCAAACCTTACTCTCCAAACTTCCTCTACGTGCATGCCGGTTTTCATCCAAATCGGAGATGGTCGAGCTCACGCTCTGGTCGAATTGGCGTTGAATGACCCAGCAGCAAGTATATCGCCCTCATCTTTGACGTACCTCTGGATGAGATGCAATTAGATGATATGATGCATATTTCCTAGGGACGTCCTGCTGATTAGAGTGGGAGAACTCGGAGACGAGTCGGGGGGAAGAACACTGGAAGAATTCATGGAAGTAGGGAAGAGGCACATCGAGGAAGCAGGCGTGCATCTCAACGACGTCTGGATCGTGGACGTTCAGCGAGCATGCCGGAAGGCGAGGGACAAGCGACAGCTGCCCAAAAAGCAGCTCGGGATGCAGTCCTTCTTCGAGTGCCTGGCCATCACCATGACTTCTCTGCTGGAGAAGCTGCTTAAGGACTCTCTTCGAGCGCTCGCATCTTATCTGTCGTGCTACTCACGTCCGAACTCGGTTGGTGTATGGAGTTTGAAAGCAGGTATCTGCTTATCTGCACCTAATACTGTACAGGGTGTCCAAAAGTCCCTATATATTTTGCTGAATTAATGATATTTTTATGTTGCAGGGATATTGATTGATAATGTTGGGTCTTCGTGAACGTGTGGCAATGGTTTCACTTCGATTCCAAGGCAAGTCATGCAATGAGATTAGATAACAGTTCCGAAGAAGATTTAACAAACCTGAACCCACAGACAAAGCAATTCGTGAATTGGTAAAAAAAAAAAATTTTAACGGACAAGTTCTGTAAATGATAAAGCGAGATCTGGTCGTCCTCGAACTTCCCAGAAAACAGTGGAATCGATAGTAATAGCTTTTGAACGTAATCATAAATCGTCAGACCGCCGTGCATCACGGGAACTGAACATTCCCAATTAACTCTTCAGGACATTTTGAAATTTGCTCTTAAAAAAAGAGCGTATCACATTCAAATGCTGCATGACTTACACGAAGATTCTTATGCTGCATTAGCCGCAATGTGTGCCGATTTGGTTGAACAAATGTAGAAGATGTAGGATTTAATGGGTCACATTCCTTTAGTGATGCACAGCGAACTGACGATTTAGGATTAAGTTATTAAGTTCACAAGCTTCTCTTATCGATTTCACTGTTACCTACGAAGTACGCGGACGGCCAGATCTCGCTTCATCATTGACAGATCCTGTCTGTTAAATTTTTTTATTATTACCAATTCATGAATTGCTTTGTCTATGGGTTCAGGTTTGTTAAATCTTCGGACCTGTTCTCTGATCTCATTGCATGACTTCACTCGGAGTCGAAGTGGAACCATTGCCACACGTTCACGAGGACTCAACATTATCAATCAATATCCCTGCAACATCAAAATATCATTAATTCAGAAAAATAGATAGAGACTTTTCGGACACCCTGTATAGTCGGAGGGTCATTCCAGCTAAAGATGGAAATGAGAGCAATATTACTTTAAAAAATCCTATTTTGACAATTTAACCTCACTGAGAGCTGAAGTTTGAGTGGAAACTCATGCTCCAGGGAGGTTTGTCAACGGAAATTGCACTTTTCCACAGGGCGAAAGAAGACTAATTTGAAAGCGAGACGACTCAATGAGTCTTAGAGTGTACAGTAAGGTTTGTTATTTTCGTTACTGTTCGTTACTAACGTGGTGCCTGAGAGTTAGCGAGTTTTTACGAGTTATTTTGAGCATCGTTATAGATGATCATCTGATGTATAATAGCAGCATAGGACATTCACTATTGAAGACTTCTTCCATTTAAGAAGTGTGCTTGTGTGTGTAGGCAGGATCTCGGTGGGGAAGGGATGGGTAGCGTTTTATATATAAAGAGAATGCATGGGAAAAGAGGGATGTGTGTAGCACAATGTCTGCTGTAGGATTTTGACGTGCGGCGCCATATAGTCTCCGCTGACGCTGTCATGTTGCAGAGCTAACAGAGCTTTCAGTCTGCTGGACAGTCCGTCGCTTCCAAGAGCTTCAAAGGATCTGAAGTGGAGTGAATTGCGCCCTGAGAATCGACTTTTTTTTTTAATAAACGACAGACGAGAAGGCGACATGGAGGATTCGTGATGAGTTTCGCCCTCGTCGAAGGTCAGGTGGAATGTATGCCGAGTTTTGAGCAACTGGAATCCGAGCTTCTTTCGCTCTTCGACAAGATGGTGGAGGTGGTTCGACGTGTCCCTCGACTCGGAGCTTCTGCACTCAGCAATCCCGTCTCTCCGCTCGATCCCTGCCTCAAGGTCTGCACGCTTTCCTTTCATTCCGTTGGGGCATGACGTATATAATGGAGGTGTCTAAGAAAATACTCTCGGAAGCTGGGTGTGTGACTATGCAGCGTGGGGAAAGATGAAGTGACATTATAAAACGCCAAGTGAAAACTTGACCAAATGATGAGTTTGCTGCTGCACATGTCTAGAAAAAAGGCGGGGAGAAGCAAATGGAAATATAAATATAAACAGGGTAAATGAATATAAAGAATCCAAGACAAATGCTCATCGACCCGATCCCAATGGACAAGATATCCTTTTCCTGTCAGTACCTGGTGTCATTCTTCTGTTCGTGCAGCCGACCGTTTTGGATTCTGAGGTGGAGGATTGCAAGAATGCAGTGAGAGAAGAGATTCGGCGCCAGATGCAAGGTCCCATTCAGCATCTCCTTCTGTACGATCCCTTCAAGTATCTCTATTCCGGGAAAGTTCGTCATTCGGCTCTTCACTCAGTCTTGAGTGATTCGGACTCCAGATGCTTGCGATTAATCATGCGCGATGACTTGCAGGAGGCAAAGGAGGTGGAGGAGTTCATCTCGAGAGAGGAGTTCGATTTCGAGGAATACGTAAGACGAGTGAGAAAGTACGAAGAGCTCTCGGAAGGCATCAGCAGAGGCTTCCCGAGCAGCGTCAATTTGGGGTTCTTCCACGTTCGATGCCGGGAATTGATCCTCGTCCTCGAGGATATCGCTCGGGAGCTAAAGGAGCGGGTCTTGGCTCACCTCACGCATCAGCATCATTCTCTCATGGAAAAGTGAGTTCCTCAAGAAGACTCGCGAAGCTTCTGATCAACGTTGACTGTCCAAAGCGATGATGACCTGATCAATCTTAATACCTGAAGCAAAAAAAAAAATAAAACAAGGGTCAGCAATGTGAAATGAAAATATTCGTTAGCTATTCAGAACTAGTGGAGGTCCCCGGCGTTGCACGGTGAATATTGTATATGTCCCATATTTGAGGGTTTAATATTGTTTTAATGCCTCTTTGGCAAACCCGGCTAGAAATTGTTTAAAATATGTAGCTTTCACTGCACAACCGATTGAAAAATTCCAGTAGCAAGCATGTTGCAATTAAAATTTTTTAAATGAGCTCCCAAAATGTTGACTCCTTGGGGGTCTGTAGCTGTGAATCGGCTAAATCTGAACTAAATAAGGTACCGCGGTGAGTCCGAATTTTGAAACGCCACGTAGCATATGACCATCCCCGGACCAAATGAGGAAGCCATGTAATGTTTCGTCATACTTGGATCAGAGGCGTGGCTGTGCATAAAGGACACACATACGTCCCAAGCAGCATGTTTACGTCAAAATTACGTAAAATTAATGTATTTTTTTTGTCCATTTTATATCTTTTTTACGCAAACCATCATCAAGATATTGTCAACATGTTTGCAGAAATGTCACCTCTGTGATGCGCAAACGATGATATAAAATTTACGTAAAATTGACATTTCTGTTTACATCCCAAACAGCATGTTTGCATTAATATTACGTAAAATTGATGTTAATTTTCCCTAACATTCACGCGAATTTTCATGAGCAAATTACTAATTTTGAAGGGAAATAGTATCACTATACTTCTCCCATTCCTTTCCACACCTTGGAACTCTAGGGTACTCGGATGAGTGCAATCCCCACTAGTATAGCAAGAGTTCCAATATGACCTACTGCTCCCTCCTTCCGCACCAAAATGAGAACCCTAAGAGTAGGAGCAGAAAGTTAGAGGAACCCTATTCCATAGTAGATAGAGAAAGTATTAAGAAATTGGGCATTCTACTCTTCCCTATTCCCGCGCACTGCTGTAATCCCAAACATAACTCAACATTTAATGATTCTCTGAGTCATATATTGTAATAAAAATATAATCATTCCATGCTTTCCACACATTTATTTATGAATTGCAAAATAAAAAATTGAAGGATGGTAGGAAAACCTGATACTATATCAGGAAAGCAGGTTCATAATAGCATTTGTAGGGTGCAGTGAACATGGGTTCCATCTAGTGAAGACTCTTGGTACTGCAGGAGTCAGTTTAAGTTTCATATGATTTTGCATAAACTTGATATGTACTTCACGTCAGATGGAGTCATGTCTAGTTTATGTAAAATACACGTACACTTTGGTGAAGTAAATATAGGAACGTAAGTTTATGCAAACATGATGTCATTTTCATGACGATCGCAAGAATTTACAGTTTGCAAAAAATTGAAATATCTTGTTTACGTGAACATGCTGCTTGGGCACACATGCACACAAACACACACACATACACACTCTGAAATATTGGGTAGGAAAGAAAGTCTTGCAACACTCTGCGCAAATTTTTCACAATTTTTAACTTTATTGAAATGCAATTTCAGTCTACAATGTAATAACCATTGTTGTCTATGACATGTTCCCAACGCACGGGTAACTGCTCGATGCCCTTTGCCCAGAACTCTGGCGATTGCGAAGCGAAGAAACGGCCGACATCATTTTCGAGCCGTGCTTGATCGTCGAAGGCATTGTCCCGCAGGTGATTATTGAGGGCCCGGAACAAGTGATAGTCGGAAGGGGCCAAGTCCGGAGAATACGCTGGATGGGGTAAAACTTCCCAGCCCAATTCCGAAATTGTCTGGGGAGTCATCTTCGCAACACGTGGACGAGCGTTGTCATGTAGAAGGACAACTTTGTCGCGTTTGGGACGCTCTTTTTGAATGATGCCAGCCAACTTCTGAAGTCGAGCAGCGTAGACGACGGCAGTCAGGGTGGTATCGGTTGGCAGGAGCTCATAGTACAACATTGCTTCTGAATCCCACCAACAGCAGAGAAGAACCTTCTTCTCGTGGAACCCTGGTTTCGGTTCGTGTGGCGGCAATTCTCCTCGTGGAAGCCACTGACTCTTGCGAATATGGTTGACGTCGAGGACCCAGCTCTCATCTCCAGTAACGATTTCCTTCAGAAGATCCTTTCCAAGCGGACGAAGGAGCAGTGATTCGCAGACACTGACACGGCTTGCTTTGTCAGAGTCGCTGAGCCGATGAGGGACCCATGTCGAGTAAACCTTCCGATAGCCGAGGTCGTTCAGATGGTTGCCGATGGCCATATGTGTGACTCCAAGTGTAGTCGCCGATTCGCGAGTGGTGGCGTTCGGCTTCGCGTCGAGGGCGTTCCGCAGGGCTTCGTCATCGACTGTAGATGGACGTCCTGAGCGTGGTCGATCTCCGAAGGTCGTGTCGCCAGATTCGAAGCGTTTGAACCATCGAGACACCGTGGAATAGTGGACGACGTTGCCCTTGAAAGCAGCGCAGATGTTGTCCGCGGCGGCTCTCGCAGAGTGTCCTTGAAGGAACTCGTAGTAGACGATGGGGCGAAGAGTTGCTTGTTCGATCGGAGCCATGGCTGCCAACTAATGGCAGAAGCCGCCTTATATACCCCGAGGGCAGAAGCTTCGAGAACATTCCAGCATTTACAAATGCAAAGCCCCGCCCATCATTCCTTTGAAAATTTTTATAAATAGTTTTAGAAAGTGTTGCAAGACTTACTTTCCAACCCAATATAATAGTACAGATAGATAGATAGATAGGTCTTGATAGATTAGGTCTACGGCTTGGTAGTGGAGTGCCCTCCTCAATGTAACCTACTTAGCATTATGGACTCTATTGATGAAACTGTAAGGACAGTTCACCATTTCACGTACGGTTCAGGCTATGCGAGGAGTACGGAGAGGTCGCACAGCGGGCCTTGAGCACCCCGCCGAACACAGAGGACCTGATGGAGCTGAAGAATTACATGAAGCATGCCGAGAGTTTCATTCTCCCCCGCTTGGAGTCCCAGTTGAGGGCTTCCGTAGAAAGAATGTATTTCCTCAATGAACATACTGTCTTCACCACGTCGGACATCCGGCTCAACAATCAGACCATTCAGTGGACGTTTCGCATTCCGGCAGTGTTCCAGGAACACGAGGCCATCGTGGAACAGAAACGGCACGAATACGAACAGGCACTCAAGGTATTGGGTATTTGAGGTAATTTTAAGTTGTTCGAGGTGCGATTATGAACGAATCTCGCTCGGCGATTTTGCAGCATCGTCGAGACCGATTCGTGGAGGAACTGGAGTCCTACGATGCCCAAGTCGAGGAACTAAAGACCTATGGAGAGATCGGGGAACTTCCTCTGTACTTGAAGAAGGCGAGGAATCTGTCAGAGAAACTGAAATCTGCCGGGGATCGGGTTGGAAGCTTTAACAAGGAGGAAAAAGCATTCGGTTGGGATACCACGCAGTATCCTCTGAGGGAACAGGTGACACTGACTCCTCCGATTTTCCGTCTTCGATGAATATTCTCGGCCGTGACGTTCCTTCGTCGTTCCCTTGCCCGTGTGGAGATCGTGGAGAAGTTGGATCCATTCCTTCGCCTGTACGAAGCGTCGATGGAATTCCTCGGGAAGCAAAGGGGCTGGTTGGACACCCCGGCCGGCTCCCACGATCCCCCGGGGATCGAGGACGAAGTGAACAACACCAGGAAGACGCTTCACAAACTCGAGAAGCACTTCACCAACATCCGTGCCACGACGCAGCTCCTTCAATCTGTCAGTCTTTGGCGTTTTCTCGAAGTTAATTGAACTCTGTAACGTGCTCTTTTTTATGGTTTGTAGATGAAAGGTAAAATCGAGGAGTTCCGTGAGCATTTACCGTTGATTCACACACTCTGCAATCCCGGTCTTCGAGATCGCCACTGGGAACGAGTAAGTTTCGTACTCCGTCTTTTTCCATCACGTGCCAGTTGAAGTCGTGAGAAAAATACAGAGGAACATGATTTCCGAAGGTGAGTGAAATAGTGGGCTACACCCTGGAACCTGGTCACGATTTGACCCTGGCAAAGCTGATCGACCTGAGCCTAGATGAATACATAGGGAAGTTCAAGGCAATCAGTGACTCAGCCACGAAGGAACATGCTCTGGAAAAGGCCATGGCCGACATGATTGCCGGCTGGGCTGACATGCAATTCACTCTTAAGCCATACAGGTATCCTAAAAAAATATTTATTTTGGTCCAGGTTTAGAAAGTTCTGTCGATCAACTGCGTTCCAATGGATCATCTCTCATGCAGGGAGACAGGGACATACGTCTTGGTCGGTGTAGACGATGTCCAACTTTTACTCGACGACCACATCGTGAAGACCCAAACCACGAGAGGCTCTCCCTATGTGAAACCCTTCAAGGAACAAGTTAGGTGCGTGTCAAGTGCTAACATCTCTCCTGGAGCTCAGAGAATCATCTAGGGAAACAGCTGTTAAAATGAACGTTTTTGCTGCATGCAAACAAGCGAGTGGGAGAGGAAGCTGATGTTGCTGCAAGAAGTTTTGGATGACTGGTTCAGCGTCCAAGAGGCGTGGCTAAGTCTCGAACCGATTTTTAGCAGTCCTGACATCATGGCACAGATGCCAGAGGAGGGCCGCAGGTTCACCACCGTCGACAAGGTAGTACCAAATGGCATCCTGCTCTTGAGAGATTTTGTTCCAATACGAAATTAATCCTTTTCTACTACGGAGGATAAAAAAGTATCATATGTCGATCGCGATCGTAGTGAATGGGTATCATAACCAGGGCCGCCCAGAGGGGGGGGGGGGCAATTGGGGCAATCTGCCCCGGGTCCCACGAATCAAGGGGTCCCAAGGGGGGCTTCCAACGGGCCTCAAGGGGGCCCCCAAGGGTCTCCAGTTTAGTTTTGCCCCGGACCCCTGGAAACCTCTGGGCCTCCCTGATCATATCTGTATCAATATTAAGAGCTGTGGCGTGGCCTTAGGAAGAGTCGTATAAACATTTTATTTATTTATTATTATGCAAGTGTGAGCATACTGTTATGCATCAATTTACTTTGCTAATTTTCAATGTGTGGAAAATTCGTCAATTTTGATAACAGTTTGCCTACACAGTCCATCCGATGGTGTTTGATGAGGTAGAATTGGAGAGACATCATGCGAACGGTGCTGGGAGATCCCAAGGTCCTGTCCGTGCTGGGCATCGAGAGGCTGCTCGAGAGGTTGAAGAAATGCGCGGAACTCCTCGACCTCATCCGGAAGGGTCTGAACGACTACCTGGAGAAGAAGCGGAGTCTCTTCCCGCGATTCTTCTTCCTTTCGAACCAGGAGATGCTGCGGATTCTATCGGAGACCAAGGATCCCACGAGGTAAGGAATTCTAGCAAGGTTTCGGAAATTCTGTCAGTGGTCGACCCGGTTCGAAGTCATCTTCGTCAAGATTGCAGAAGCAACTGCGAAAAGTGTTCCCCGGCGTGGACCGATTGAGTTTCGACGCGGAGAACGTGATCACAGGAGTGCATGGTCTGGGAGATGCCGAAGCGATCACTTTGGTTCAATCCATCGATACGTACTCGGCCAGGGGACAAGTGGATAAATGGCTTGTCCCTCTGCATAAAAACCTCAAGGCCAGCCTACACAAGGTGAGCATAATCATCGAGGTTCGTGTAAAATCAGCCGACGATTTGGACTCGGTCGCGTCTCGTAGGCATTGGAGAGTGCCTGTCGTGATTATGGCGTGGAGACGGAGGGCTGGTGGAAGAAATGGCCGAGTCAGGTGTCTCACTGCGTTGCCATGTGCGATTGGACTCGGTCCGTGGAGACTGCCTTCGCCTGTTCCGATCCCAGGTCGGGACTTCGAGAAGTCCGAGATAAATTTTCCTCTGCTCTCCAAGTACTCCAGGAGGGACTTTTATCCGGGATCCCTTGTCCCTCTCGGAGGAGATCCCTCGGTTCGTGCCTACAGCGTTCCTTCATCTTCATCCAAAAATATGTATCAGTATTATTTTAAAAAAGTAGTATTGCCTCCTGACTCCTCCACATGCCAAGACACGATGTAAGTGTCTATAATAGTTTATTTTGGATTTGGTAGACGCATAATAGGTATGATGTCGTAATCAAACCTAAATTTCTTCCATAGAAGTAACTTTTGGCGAATACTCCGCCTTAACGAAAACTCACCTGTTGTTGTATGGACAGAATCGCTCGTGATTGTTTTGCTGGGCTGCAGAGATCTCCTCGAAGACATGCTCAAGAATGACGTTTCTTCTGCCAACGACTTCCTTTGGCAGTCTCAAATCCGTTACTATTCCAAGGTGACCCTTGGCTCGTGCTCAGATTTTTGCTTCAATTCTAGGTTCTTTAGAAGCTCATGGGGATTTTTTTCCTGTCTTGGAAGAATGACGGGTTGGAGGTGAGTGTGTTCTTCGTACACCAAGCGTATGGATACGAATACCTGGGGTCTTTGAGGAGATTGGTTCTCACTCCTTTGACCCTCCGCTGCTTCCAGACCATTCTTCTCGCAATTCACCAGGGATTCGGTATGCTTAAGTATACTGCCCCCCCCCTCCTTGCACACCTCGTTTCCATATGCTCTTGGAGTTTACCAGTCACTCTTTTGCATGGGATGGAGGTGGGTTGGTGGAAGGAGGAGTGGCGACGGGGAAAACGGAGACGGTCAAGGATCTGGCATCCGTCATGGCCAAGCATTGTATTGTTATCAATTGCTCTCCTGATCTCAACGCCACAGGCTTCTCCACCTTGTTCAAGGTCTGTTTTGAGTGTTTCGTACTTGTCCCTAGCTCTAACTCTAGTCGACCGGCTCAGGTGAATTTTGTCGACCAGGGTGTAGCATCTTGTGGCTCGTGGCTCTCATTGGATTCCCTTCATCGAGTGGGGGTAAAGACCCTGTCGGTGATAGCAGGGCTCCTCATGAGTCTTCAGCAGAGCCTTGCCGCCGGGGAAGACGTAGTCCAGTTCCAGGGTTCCCAGTTGGATCTCGACCCGTCGTGCGTCGTCCTTGGGATCCGCAATCCCTCTCCGAATCATCTCATCCCGGACAATTTCAGGGTCTGCAGCGACTGAGATCTCGTCTCAAGCCGAAGAGGACGTTCCGTTTCTAAAAGTTGGTTTGGATTTTCTGGATGCGTGTTGTAGAGTCTCTTTCGTCCCGTGAATCTGTGGGAACCGGACATGAAGATGATCGCCCATGTGGAGCTCCTAGCCTCGGGATTCGCGTCTGCGTCTTCCCTGTCCCACAAAATACTTTCCACCTTCAGTGCTGTCACTTCCATGATCTCTTCTCAGTCAGCTGAAAATCTCGGTTCTTCCTCTTCTTCATCATCGTAATCAAATTTGAAGTTTGCTGCGTTTGTTTTGGAGTGTATGGTGTTTCCTTTTCGTGTAGGTTTGAGAACGCTAACATCAATGTTGAGTCACGCGCGTTCTTGGATGGGACATTCGGGAAAGCAATTGTCCGAGGCGGAAGAGAAGCAGATCGTGCAAAATGCACTTCGGGAGTCCTGCCTTGCAAACCTCACCTTGTCAGACGTCGACCTGTTCGAGGTATGCTCTCTTACTAAAAAGCCTAGTTCGAGGGGATCGAGATCTGTCGACATGTTTCCTACCTGCTCCCCTCTTCATGAAATCTTCTGGTTGAGTTGGCAGCCAAAAACACGATGGGTGTCTCTGAGTACGTCGTGCGTAGGGCCTTATGAAACAAAAGAGAGAGCTGTCATGCAGAGGGGAAAATGACTTGATTTTGAGATTCTTATGAAAACTTTTGACACGTTGGAAATGAAATTGGGGAAGTGCCAGCGCAATAACCGTATAATTAAAAAAATAAATAACAAAGTGTAATAACAAAGAAGCGGACTAGCACTCGGAAAGGTCTTGAGCCCGGCTCCACTTGAGTCCAGAAGCAGGGTACCGCTCCACTGCCCAACCGCATTCTTGATCGAGGGACAATATAACGCCTTATGGAAATGCGCTCTGGTATTTTTATTTGCTAATTCAATATGTGAACATTAAAGTGTTGTATACTTACGAAGTCAATCGATCAAGGTATGGCTGTGCCAACAATGTGTTTTCGTCAGATGTGGAAAAATTAAATTTTATGCCCAAGCCAAGTGGGTCCTGTTACGTGTGCCTCCACCTTGACCTAATTTACTTCTTGAGTGAGATAAAGCCTCTCTTCTTGGTTCCATCTCTGCTCTAAAGCCATGAAACACATATGAAGCTTTTATTGGAATTATGTTGCACACAAAACCTACCGCCCGTTTATGTTTTCACTGATCCATTCGAATTCCATGCTTCCAGAGAGTACTGAAGGAGGTATTCGAAGACGAGCAAGACGTGGCAAACGTGGAGAATGGGCCGCATAGGATGGATCCACAGATACGAGACGCGTTGAAAAAGGCGTGCGAGATGCTCAAGCTGGTGGCAACAGAGAAATTCCTGGAGAAAGTCGTCCAGGTCCATCTGGTGTCGGAAGACCGGATGGGGATCATCCTGCTCGGGGACGCCATGTCCGGCAAGACCTCCGCCTACCGAGTCCTCGCCGCGGCCCTCAACTCGCTCGTCGAGCAGGTCTGCGTTCCCGTCTTTCTGAAAAGGCATCGCTTCTGTGTCGGTTGAATCGGATTCTGATTGTCTTGTCGATGTTCTGACTCTTTGCCGTTTGGATCCCATCGAACTTGCTCGGTGAATGTGGTTATTGCTCCGTGATAGGGAGGATTGAAAGGGGAGAGCAGGGTGAACGTGACCGCTTTGAATCCGAAGGCTCTTACGTACGAGCAGTTCTTCGGGAAATACGACCACGAGAGTCATGAATGGCATGATGGCATAATTCCTCATACCCTTCGACAATACTCCTTCTCTCTGTCTCCAAACAGGTGGGGGCCAGGAACCAACTTGTGAAGTCCAGGAATGATTTCAGTGTCAATTCACATCAGCCTTTCCCATTTCAAAATAATCTCATATTGAAGATTCATCATATTTCTTTCGAAAGATGAATGATATTCCTTCGTGCAAGCAAGGCAGCAAGGATAACTCGTCACGTAGCCGAAAAATTTTTGAAAGGATGCTATGATCTTATTTTTAGTTTAGATTCACTAGAGCAAAGAGAAACATGGAGAAAACTAGATAGGTTGTCTTAAAATCAGTCAGGTATTTTTCTTAAACAATAGTTTGGTACAGTACCAGGACATCTATAATGTTTTGTGAGGATCGGTACCCCATGACGCTATTTTTGTAGTTACCAAGGGGAACAGAAAAAGTAATCGTTCTTAGATGTTTCGTCAAGCCGATTATGATCCTCCTCAGCAATTTCAGATCGGTTGTTTGAAGAACGTTGGCATCGTCTTAGGCCCTGATGTAAGAATCCATACGTAAATTCGAATAAAATGCATTTTAAAATTTATATTCCTGGAACCCTTATGGTGGGATACCGTGAAGTTATTTAGA